TCCCTACATGGGGACTATGTAACAGAGCACTGAGTTCCCCCGTTTGTCCCAGCACTGCTGGCTGCATCAAGTCTGCAGGGAGGATAACGGGATGCTACGGGCCAGCTGGCCATCACACATCGCCTCCTGCACACAGGTCTGCACGGAAATCAGAGAGGAGGAAAGCTTGCAGCAGAGAGAAAAGCAAGAGGCAAACAGCAGTGGTTTAAATCACAGCTCCCGGACCAGCACTAGAGAGCAAATCGGAGCTGTGACAGTGGCTGCGGGGCCCCTGGCTACCGCTCCCTCCCCTACCAAGCAGGTCACATCCCGCTGACATAGCTGAGCTGTGGCTAAATGAAGCAATGCTTGCATGGGATTTCAGAGACAGCTTTCCAGATGCTCAGCTGGCTTCCAAACCTGCTCTAATTGCAGAGGATGCTGGACATTTATAGCATGTGCTTCAAGCCCACAGGCAGCAGAGACGCTTCACAGCCAGCGTGCAAACACCAAACCCCGCTGAGTGATGTTTTCCTGGAGGGCCGCAATTCTTTGCTTCCTCTAATATTCCTGCATCGTCTCCGGGACGGTCTCCGACATCAGCGCAGGTCCTGCAGGCCAGGCCTTGCGCAACGCGGCTCCTCGGACGGGGGGAATAACACAATCTCCCTTGGACTGGGGCACTGGGGACTTTTTCCAGTTTAGGAACAGCAGCCTGTTCGGGGAAGCAGTGGAGAGCTGGAAATGCCGCCTCTGCTGGCTCTGCTCCGCACTTTGGAGGGCAACGGAGTATTAAAGCCCGAACTGAAAACAGCTTTTGGATGTCTTTTTGGGGTCTCCGTGCTGCGAGGAGTGGAAGGGACATGGCTGTCCCCACAGCGGTTGGGCAAGGAAGATAAGCTTCAGAGAGGATTAACCCCTTCTGATCCAGTCTCCTGCTCCCCAGCTCTGTGTCCCCCCGCCCTTAACTCTGCCCCTTTGGGCCGGCTACTGCTGCCCCCACACTGCCTGCTCCACCCTGTGCATCTCTCCAGGCTGATTTGGGAAATTCCCCCCCATCTCTTCCCATTTCTACTTCTCTTCCTGGCTCCCAGCTGACAGTATTTCTGCTCTGTTCCCCTCCCCTTTAGGGATTTTCAGCATTGAGGTCATAACTCCAGCCCCACGGCAGAGCTGGAGGGAGAGGGAGGCGAGCAAGCTCTGACCGCATCCACGGACATCGAGGACCTGGGGGCAGACGGCCTTTCCGCGTTATTTATCATTCTGCTTTGGAGCAACAGCTCCAGGGCGACCAAGGGGAGCCTTGTCCCCCCCCCCAGCATGTTATAGACACTGCAAATCTGATAAAAGCCCGGGGGGAGAAGGGGCAGGGGCACTGTGAGACACAACTCACCCAAAGGTTAGGGGCAGTTGCGGAGCCCAGCTCCATCTAACGCCCCATGCTTCAGCCAGTGCCGTGCCTTGGCGGGATGCCCCTTCCCTAGCTCCCAGGAGTTGGCAAAGTGCAGTTTTATGAGACCAGAGTAGATAACTGAAGCATTTCGTTGCCACCCAAATCAGCGCCGGAGTGGGATTAAGAGCCTCATCTGCACTGCAAATCGCCAAGAGCTGCAGATTGCAACAGCCGGAGCTGCTCGGGCTGGTTTGAATCTGCTGTTTGCTCTTAACATCTCGATTGTGGGAGCCAGCCGCCTCTCGCACACCCATTTCCCCAAACAAAAGGGAGGCAGCTTGGCCGTGCGTGACACAAAAACGCAGCTTAGGCACAGGCATAGCAGGCAAAAGGTTTTTTTTTTGACAGCCTCGCACCTGCCAAAGAGGTGCGGAGAGACCAGGTGGCATTATTTCACCCTGACATGCTGTGGCAGCAAGTGGGGCAGGGGCTTTTGCATGCACTCCGCTGCAGACAGAGCTCACGGCCCCCAAATAAGGGGACCAAAACAGCTCCTGGTGAATGCCAGGAGACCCGTTAGCATTTTCTTCCCATTTATCTCAGCCCTGACCACCCAGTGATAAAGCACCCGCTTGGCCTCCCCCAGTGCCTCCTCCCAGCCAGTCCCGCTCCGGAGAGCGGGATCAGGCCATCCCCAACCTGCCCTCCTGGGGCCGGCGGCTCCGCTCACAGTGCTACGAGAAACCCCAAAAGGTTCATTTCTGAAGCCAATTCAGGTACAGCCACGAGAACAACCCCACGGGCAGGTGCTTTTGAAGCTGATGGAAGATAGTTTTAGCTGGTACACCTCTGCTATCCCGCCGTAGAAGACGCTTTGTAGGGGCCCAGCATGGGACCGTTTAAACTGCTTTGAGACATTCAACCTGGGACAAGTTACAGCGAGCAAACAAGGCAGCCACGCGACAGCAGAGCCGCACCGAGGCTGGTGAACCTGCCCCTCTTGGCGCCGTCCAAAAGGAAAACAGCTCCGGAAAGTGGAGAAAGGAGCGTTTCTAGACGCTGTTTGCTGCTCAGACCGCTAGACTGAGCTCGCCTGAGCTTATCGCCCGCTGCACAGCCCCGTAAACTCACCCTGTGCTTTACCCCACGCCGATAAGACAGGCAGAAAACCACAAATATTTGCTAACGTTGCCTGCGGACAGCTTGGGGCAAACCTTAGGCGTTGTGGCAGGGGTATAAAATAGGCTGCTGCCCCCCCCCGCCCCCC